CTTGAAGCTGTCATTGACAACAAAGGCTTTTGTATTAGATAAATTTCAGTAAGTGTGTTCAATACTTTTTCCATGTGCCATTCCACATTATTACAAATAACTTCATTTCTGGACATTTATGGTTTGATTTCTTTGTATGTATGGATCACTTGGGTTGTTACCAACATCTGGTGAAAATTTCATGTCATTAGCAACTCTAGTAATATACAGTATTTACTGAGAAAAATGTTGACGTGTTCAATACTTATTTTACCTGCTGTAAATGAACCACTAAATAAATAAATACACTTAAAATGCACCAATTCAATTAAAAAATAATTTCACCTCATGTTTTGTAATCTAATTCTCCAATACAAAAGAAAAATGATGACTTTGAGGATATCTCAAATCACAAACAACACACATCAATATCATGACCTCACCAGTCTGGGATATATCCATTGGCAGGAGTTTGATGACGTCACCTTTGCTGAAGCTGAGGAGACTCTTGTCATCTGTTACATATGTCTTTAAAGCTACCACATGTCCTGAGTCCTGGGAGCACAAAGACATATGTCAACAACAAAAAAACAGCTTTTGTATGAAATGTAAGTAAATTATTTGCATGTGAAATTTCAAAGCTTCAAAAGAAAATGTCAAAAAATAAACCATGGTGTGGAAAAAAACAGCAAAACCACCTTGATGAGCTCTTTGAGGAATAGTTCGATCATGAAAGTGATCTGAGGTGCCTTGGATGACTTCAGCACCAAGTTCTCATTCTTGAGCTCCAGCTCCACTTTATCACTCCCCTGGAGACCAACTGACAGGACCTCTGCAAAACTAGATTTGTATAAACATTAAAAAACTGTAATTAGGCAGAGAGACAGGTGAGTTTTTCCCATCACAGTTAATTCAAGCAGGTGAACTAAATGAACTGTCACAAAGATTAAATTCATAACCAGTTAGAAGTTGTGAGGTTTGAGGTGGGCATAATGACCCAGGGCACAGGCAAAAATTCAAAGTGCATTATAAAGTTTATTAAACAAAAGAGGGCTGTCATGGCAGCAAAACTTACAAGAAATTATCTAAGGAAGAACAAAAACACAGAGGACAACTACACTGGCTGGAAGACAGCCCAATGAACCGACACCAGACTGAGGACAAGACACTAAATGAGACAACAAGAAACAACTGGAGGAGACACGAGGAAACAGATGAACATGGACTGGACTGGAGGCATGACAGGAGAGCAGAGACACACAGGAAAACACAGAAAACTCTGGAAAACTAAGGCAGAAAAGACACAGACCGTGACAGAAGTAAATATTCATTCCATTAGTCCAGACCATTAGACCAATCCTCTTTACTTTACATATGTTTCCATTAAGTTAAGGTATTAAACAGCATGGGATAAATTTCCATTGTTATACTGATGATAGTCAGTTATATTTATCCATGAAACCTGATGAATCTAATCAGTTACTTAAACTACAAGCATGTCTTAAAGACATAAAAACTGGATGACTCAGGGTGTATTCACACCTGACATATTTGGTCTGATTTAAATAGACCAGAGTTTGTTTCCCCCATTGGTCTGGACCTTTTATGCAGGTGTGAATACACTCATACGAAGCCTGGTGCGGATCAAACAACTGAACCAAGAACTTAAGCCTTTTTGGACTTACGGGCCACCATACCTAAGCAACATTAGCCCTTCAGTGTTGCTAATGCTAACACTGCACTATAAACAATGCGCCGTTGTTGATCAAAGAACGTTGGTTATGTACTGTAACCCCAGATTCTATGAGTGTAGGCACGCTGATGGGTATCCCTCACGCGCGCTTTCTGAAAAACAAATAGTCCACGCCCACATATTGTGGACCCCACCTCGGTCCGCATAAAAGGCAGCTGGCCCAAGACTCTGCTCCCGATAGCTTAATTTTTCTTCAGCTACGGAAGCTGGTGAGGCCCCGATCTTAGAAGGCTGCGCTTACACTCATACAATCTAGGGTTACAATACGTAACCAACATTTTATTTCGTGTAAGCTCCGCCCTCTAAGGCTATCGCTGATGGTTATAGAGGCGGAGCCCGACGTAGTCTGCACCTCACCGGCTCTATCAGACTCGTGAAGCTTCCGCCCAACACCCCTGTGATGTTTCTGCATGAGACAGGAGGCAATTGAATAACAACAGATTCATACAAATGAATCAATACAATTGCCCGAACCAACACTGTGACCACATCACATGATCCAAATAATGTGAACAACAAGGCACTGTATGTGCAGTGTTATGGATTAATTAAGTACCGTATTTTTCGGACTATAAGCCGCGACATTTTTCCTGAACTTTGAACCATGTGGCTTACAGTCCGGTGCGGCTTATTCATGGATTTTTTTCTTCAGCCACCAGGGGGCTCTTATGCTCCATTTGCTTCAACCACTCGCTTCAAAAAAAGAAGAAAAAATAAAAATAAAAAAGCGATCGCTTCCAGAGCCGACTGTTGTACCAGGAAGCAGCGATTTAATGATAGTCAGTGGCCAAAAACTCATAAAAGGGGATAAAACAGACATTTTTCATGGTGGAGTCTGACTGATAAAAACTTTGGAGCTTAATCCAGGACCAGYTTGTGGATAAACGTCGAGTGAAGAGCTGCTGCCTTTTTTTTTYCGGCATTGCACTCCCCGGGTAAGGAATCCCATGCAGTGACGTATGCTGGAGCGGGAGGGCTTTCCCAGCAGCTCGGCTTGGGGTTTCTCGGGGGAACTATGAAAGGTCAGTGCGAAAACAAACACAGAACAATCACGTGACGGCACGTCGACCGGTCAACAGCTGAGCGACCATACTGCCAGCTTAGCCGGAGGTGTAGCGCCATTTTGTTTTAGCTAGTAGCAGACACGACATGACGGACCTTCGACAGACACGATATTGGACAGTAYGTGGGCCCACATCAYGGATTCGGTGAAAGCAGCCATCAAGAAAACAAACTCAATCCTGCTGTTATTCCTGGAGGTACAACAACGTTTTTACAACCCCTGGACATCAGTGTGAATCGTGCATTTAAAGCAGCACTCAGGGCTGAATGGGAGGCTTAGATGACTGACGGGGATAAATCTTTCACAAAAACTGGCCGAATGCTGCTGTCAGCTGTGGACATGAAAGCGCCCGCTGCGAAGCAGGAGGAGGGGAGAGCGGAAAAAGTTCAAAACTTATTTCTAGAGGCAGAACAGGTTGGAAGGTGGCTGTTCGGTGCTATTTATTGTTTTTAAATCATCCTACAGGCTCTGACATGTTAGATGCATTTGAAAATGAGGTTTTGAAAAAAATCCGTAAGACTTGAAAAAATCCGTGAGATTAATCTATAAGTCCGTATACCTGCAAAATGACGTAAAATCCTTATAACTTACGGACAATCCGTACAAGCTGACATGTACAGTATGTTCTTATAACCTGGTGAAGACCAGACCCGTTTTATTAGGATCTAATAGTTAAAACTCTAGAATGGAAAGATGGTGGACTTACTTTCTCATAAAAGTAGAATTTTAGCTAGTGATCTTGGTTGTTGGTTGTGTTTGTACCTGTAGCCTTTGAGCAGTCTCAGATGCTTTGGGTTGATACCTGATGCTCTCACCACCTTCAGAAGACGAATTCCTCGATGGGAAATACCCAAAATCTGAGCGTCACTTCTGTCAGCCTGCATGCAAACAATTATACCTGTGAATAAATCTTTGTTTTTTTTAAATGGTTTATTTTGTCTTTAAATGAAGTCAATAAAAATAAAAAAATAAACAAAACAATACTGTTGCTGCTGCAAGAGAAAGATAGTTAGTGAGGCAGAGAAATGCTGATCAATCAATGTGTAATTATGAGTTTACGTGAATCTAAACTTTTATTCTTTGTATTTATTCAAGTGGTTAAAAGTGAGTGTGTAGGTGAACACAGTCTGTACTAAACGGACATGGCAGCAAATAAAGATTAAATATGAAAACAGTAATATCAGGTAAGGTCCAGGTATTAGATCTTAGGTTCAACCCTTAACAAATAAATTACATAATTCACTAGCTTCAACACAAAATTATTGTGTCCCCCCCCCAAAAAAAAAAGTGTATTACTCAATATAAAGATCACTAGATTGAGCCCCGCCCATACTGTCCACTGGTAGCATC